GCTTGTGTTCCCTCTCTCGCTGTGTCTCTCTCTGTCAAATAAATAAATAAAATCTTAAAAAAAAAAAAGATTGATTTATTTATTTGAAAGAGAGAAAGTGTGTGAGCAGGGGGACAGGCAGAGGGAGAAGGAGAGAGAATCCTTAGGCAGACTCCAGGATGAGCGCAAAGCCCAACTCGGGGCTCGATCCCAGGACCCCGAGAAGTGTGCAGGGAGCTGAAATCAAGAGTTGGATACCCAACTGTCTGAGCCACCAGTTGTCTCTTAGCTATTTTTAAGTATACAGTTCAGTAGTATTAATTCACATTGTTGTGAAAGCAAGGTCCAGAACTCTTTCCATCTTGCAAAACTGACAAATATTTATTTTTAAATAATAAGACCACAAAAAAATACTTGAAAAAACTAGGTGAATATTTACATAATCTTGAGATGTTGAGTGACTTTTTAAGCATTGTCCCAAAGTCTGACACCATAAAGATTTGGATATAAAGAAATGTGAAACTTCTACTTCAAAATACCATGAAAATCAAGACAAATGAAAAAATGGGGGAAATTCTTGAAAAAGTATGTGACTGGGGTGCCTGGGTCCCAGTTGGTTAAGCATCTGCCTTCAGCTCATGTCGTGATCTCAGGGTCCAGGGATTGAGCCCTGCGTTGGGCTTCCTGCTCAGCGGGGAGTCTGCTTCTCCCTCTGCCCCTCACCCTGCTTGTGCTCTCTCTCAAATAAATAAAAAAATCTTTAAAAAAAAGTATGTGACAAAGGATTAATAGCTTTCATATGTAAAGAGTGATTTCAAATCAATAGGAAAAAAGTTTCAGTAGGAAAACTGATCACGGAAATGAACAATTTATAAAAGAAGGAATACAAATGCTGAGCCACAGAAGTAATCAAGGAAAGTGAATTAAAAGAGCAATGAAGGGTGCCTGGGTAGCTCAGTCGTTGGGCGTCTGCCTTTGGCTGGGGTCATGATCCCAGGGTCCTGGGATCGATGAATATTTTTTTCACTTCTATCTTCCATTTTGCTTAAATGTGTGATAAGTATTGTTTATTCTTCAAGTGTGTCAAATCTATTGTTTATTCATTTTTAATTAAGTTTTAAATTTCAATCATTTTAGTTTTCACATCTGGAAGTTTTATTGTTTTTCTCAAATCTTGACCAGTCCTTGGATTATGTTGCTCATTGTCTATATGTTCAAGATTATTTTTAAAAAAATTTCTGTAGGGGGACACCTGGGTGGCTCAGTCGTTAAGTGTCTGCCTTCGGCTCCGGTCATGATCTCAGGATCCTGGGATCGAGCCCTGCATCGGGCTCCCTGCTCGGCGGGAAGCCTGCTTCTCCCTCTCCCACTCCCCCTGCTTGTGT